AAAAATCCGATTCGCGCACCCGAAGTAGGCTAATATTCGGATTCGACGCGAATCAAATTTTTCCTGAAATTCGAATCGAATTCCACTTCGCCTGGTTCGATTCGCTCATCTCTAAATATGACCACAATGTTAAAATTGGTTTTGGAATAGGCATATTTAACTTGAAATTGTTTTACCCCCTATATGACCAGGGCATTTTTGCGCTACTTTAACTGGCAATTATGTGGTCATGCAACATTGTACGCTAATGAAATTTATATAATTTTCACACAAACAGAGCTTTATTTTGGTGGTATTTGATAACCACTTTTTTTAAAATTATATAAAAGACAAAAGATCAAAAATGTATATATATATATATATATATATTTTTTTTTTTTTTTTTTTTTTTTACTTTCTGTTATAAAACACATCAAATAAAAAAAAGATAAAAAAATAAAATTTCTTCCTAAAATTAGGCCAAAGTGTATTCTGCTGCATGTCCCATCCTGCCCTCAGCTAATACTGGAATCTTCTACTTTTCCAACCAGTCCATCCCTCACAGTTACTACCTTTTGTACCACTAGCCCCTCCCTCATAGATTGTAAGCTCCAAGGAGCAGGGCCTTCACATCCCTCTTGTATTGAACTGTATTGTTGCTGTATTGTCTCTCGTTATATTGTAAAGCGCTGAGCAAACTGTTGGCGCTATATAAATCCTGCATAATAATAATAATAATAATGTCTTTGTTAAAAAAAAATCCCAATAAGTATATAGTATATATGAATTGGTTTGTGCAAAAGTTATATCATATGCAATCATTTTCACATGGCATATATACTGAAATGTACACAGCTATGATGCTATGCTGGTAATTGCGGTGTTCAGCGACTTATAGTGGGACTGTAATAGTGTGTCAGACAATCTGGCATTAGCTGATGCTGGCTGGGAGGGACACTATTTGAATAACTAACACTGACATCAATAATGACACCAATACAGTGATCAGTGCCAATCATGTACATTGTCACAGTACTAATGACACTGGCTGTGAAGGGGTTAACACCTAAGGGCAATCAAAGGGTTAACTGTGTGCCTATCAATGTTTAATGTGTGTAATATGTGCTGCTTTTACTAATAGATGCTTTGCAGAGAGGAAAAACAGCCACATCACTGCTCTCTGTACAGAGGCCTGTGTTGTTAGTAAACACAGAGCTCTGTGCTGTGATTTACTAAGCCTATTAGCAGGTACCGGTCAGAAATCATTGGCCAGAACCTTTTGACCGATCTGTGATTTACCAAATGACAGCACAGATTGGATGGGAGGCGTACATGAGCACACACGCCCGCTACCCAGAATTGCTGGATCATATACATGTACGTCATATAGTGCATCGGGACCACCTGCCAGCAGTATATATATTCTGGGTGGTCTTTAACCACTAGCCTACAGGGCACTTATACCCCCTTCCTGCCCAGGCCAATTTCCAGCCTTCAGTGCTGTCGCACTTTGAGTGACAATTGCGCAGTCATGCAACACTGTACCCATATGAAATTTTTATCATTTTTTTGTGACAGATAGAGCTTTATTTTGATGGTATTTAATCACCTCTGGGTTTTTTATTTTCTCTTAAACAAACCAAAAACCACTGAAAATTTTGAAAAAAAAATTTTTTTCTTAGATTTTGTTATAAAATTTTGTAAATAAGTGATTTTCCTCCTTCACTGATGTACGCTAATGAGGCTGAAGTGATGGGCACTGATAGCCTGCACTGATGGACACTGATAGGTGGCACTGATGGGCACTGATGAGGAGGCACTGGTAGGTGGCGCTGATGGGCATTGACAGGCATCACTGATGGGCACGGAAAGGCAGCACTGATAGGCGGCACTGATAGGCAGCACTGACTGGCATTGTTAGGCAGCACTGACTGGCACTGATAGGCGGCACTGATTGGCAGCACTGATAGGTGGCACTGATTGGCATTGATAGGTGGCACTGACTGACACTGATGGGTGACACTGAAAGGCAGCTCAGATGGGCACTGATATGTGGCATTCATGTGCACTGGTAGGCACTGATATGTGGCATTGATGTGGCACTGATGGGCACTGGCACAAGGCACTGATGAGCACTGGCACGAGGCACTGATCAGCACTGACAGCTGGCACTGAAGGACACTGACAGGTGGCCCTGCTGGGGCTACACTGATCATCAGGGCACACTGATCATCAGTGCCCTGATGATCAGTGTACATGTCCCCTCCGCGGAAAGCCGATTACTGGGTCTCCTCTCCTCTCGAGTTGTCAGCGTGACAGCTTGAGAGCAGAGAAATGCCGATAACCGGCATTTCCCTGTTTACGTGTGATCTGCTGTGATTGGACACAGCTGATCACATGACCGAGCCGATATCTTCGGCTCTTTCCGTGATCGGTGATCCGCTGTGTTCGAATGACACAGCGCACCGCTGACCGCCGCGCTGCGCACTCCCTGAGCCATATGACTTCCTCCCAGAACGAGAGAGCCACCTTGCGTCCGTCATATTACTATATGGTGTGCAGGAGGTGGTTAAGCAGTTAAGCACCATGTGTGCAAAGTATGTCTGTGGTATTTTCTCTGGTAGTCAACCACTGTAAGTACAAAATCTGGAATGCTAAATAGGATTGCATTACTTCTAGGTGACCTTGTGTGCAAGGAGTCTAAATGTATTTTAGCTGCTTTCTTTAATTACTTTGTGAAAATGATAACATAAAGAAATATTAAAGTTTGCATTACTCATTCTAAGGTTAATTATATTATACACTATATATATATTATACTGTCAGTAAGGAAACATTCTGAGTTATCATTGTAACATTTATTGATTTTAGTTACATGCCATACCATATTTTATAAAATCAAGCACCTAGGCATGCATACTGCTTCTACAAAATTTGTGAAAGAATGGGTCGCTCTCAGGAGCTCAGTGAAGTCAAGCGTGGTACCATGATAGGTTGCCACCTGTGCAATAAATCCATCCGTGAAATTTCCTTGCTACTAAATATTCCACGGTCATCTGTTAGTGGTATTATAACAAAGTGGAAGCAACTGGGAACAACAGCAACTCAGCCACCAAGTGGTAGGCCATGTAAAATGACAGAGCGGGGGCAGCGCATGCTGAAGCGCAAAATGCGCAGAAGTCGCCAACTGTCTGCAGAGTTAATAGCTAAAGACCTCCAAACTTCATGTGGCCTTCAGATTCACACAACAGTGCATAGAGAGCTTCATGGAATGGGTTTCTATGGCCGAGCAGCTGCATCTAAGCCTTACATCACCAAGCGGAATGCAAAGTGTCGGATGCAGTGGTGTAAAGCACGCTGCCACTGGACTCTAGAGCAGTGGAGCGGTGGAGACAAATTTTCTGGAGGAATGAATCACGCCTCTCTGTCTGACAATATGATGTACATATCTGGGTTTGAAGGGAACTCTTAAGGCGTCAGCATTGTGCAAGAGTCTGGTGACACTAACTTTTGCAGTGAAGTCTTGCTATTATTTTTTTGAAATGTAAGAAGTCAACTAGTGATTTAGCATACCAGTGCCTTCCCTGAAACTGGGATGTTTGGGTACAACTTGTCTTTTATTTTATTTTTTTCTCTATGGTCAGAAATGCCATATTGTACCCAGGTTCTATTGTGGTAAAATACAGATTTGCTATTAAGACAATTTCACAACATCTTTATTGGTTATACTTGCCCAATCAGTTTTATTTAGGAGTCTGCATATACTGCAAATACTGATTTTGTATTTAATTTTTTTTTAAAAGGGTTTTTTTCTGGAAAGGGTTTATCACTGTCCATGCTATTCATTCCTGGTGACTACTGTATATATCATTTTTTGCATGGATATAACAAGGACAGGAAGCGAGAGAAAGTCTCCCCATCTGGGTAACATACAGAAATAAAAGCCTGATAGAAATTTTGTCCTTCTCACTCTATCCTAAACTAAACCATACAATTTTGCAAACAGGTAATTCTTCTCCTTCGCTAATGTGTGTTGATGAGGCTGCACTTATAGGCAGCACTGATGGGCGGGCACTGATGAGCTGGAACTGATGAGGCGGCACTGATGATGCTGCACTGATATGCAACAATGATGGGCACTGATAGGCGGCACTGATGGGCACTGACAGGCGGCACTGATAGGCAGCAGTGATGGGGGGCACTGACTGGCGCCACTGCTGGGTACTGACTGACAGCACTGATGGGCACTGATGGGTGGCACTGCTGGGCAGCACTGATGGGGGCACTGCTGGGCAATGGTGGCTGGCACTGCTGGGCACAGGTGGGTGGCACTACTAGGCACTGCTGGGCACAGGTGGGTGGCACTGCTGGGCACTGATTGGCGCAGGTGGGTGGCACTGCTGGGCACTTGTGGGCAGCACTGCGGTGCACAGGTGGGTGGCACTGCTGGGCATTGATCATCAGGGCACTGATCATCAGGGCACTGATGATCGGTGCCAATCTGTCCTCTGACAATATGATGCCCTCCCAGAATTGGACAACCGTGCTGTAGCTGTCATTCAGCTATAGCACAGTTGGCAAGTGGTTAAAGTTCATGTGCATGTAAAGGCACGTGACCCAATACTTTTATCAATATAGTGTGTGTATATATATATATATATATATATATATATATATATACACACACACACTCTGTGTAATGCTTCCCTTTGTTATCTGACTGATGATATGTGATTAGCATTATCAGCTCTAGTCATGTGTGTACCATTTGTGGCTGCTGCTACATTTGCTACATGGCTTACCTTTACTCAGGTAGAAGTCTCCTGTTGCGTTGAATGTCCAGCACTAAGATTGGAAGTTTGGCTGCAGCACAGATATCACAGGAGTCTCATTGCCTTGCATCTCCTCTATTCATTAAAAGCCTTGACTTAATTTTCAATAAATGCTCAACTTTTTGTGATTAGAGGAGGGGAGATTGTGATGTTCATCCACACCTCTTCAAATCACAGAAAGCCTTAACCTCCCTAGTGGTCTGATTATGTCCATATTTCTGTGCTCAAAGCGGTACATTTTTTTGTATGGAAATATGTATTTTTTTTATTGTAGGCCTGTAATTTTTAGGAATAACTCACTGAAATCTGTCCGAACAAGAGTCTAGTAAACATCCTGGGTAGGATAAAACTTGAAACACAAAATCATAAATTATAATTTAATAAATAATCATAAATATAATAATATAATAATAATAAAATTTAATTAAATAATATAATCAAACCAAAAACACTGAAATTTGAAATATAGCACCAAGTTCCCACATCACTGAGCAAAGTCGCAAAATCGTTTTCAGTGTCTGATGACGTATTTCCCCACGAATCATTATCACTCAATTCTGCAAGTGGTTCTGATTTATTATTGCTGTTCTCTAGCTGGTCTAAAACCACTTTTGACCAAAAGGGACGCTTTTTGGATGCCATGGACGTTTCTAAGTTTCCAGGCAGAAAGAACAGTAAAAATGCAGGCAGGGCACAGGACAAAGCAGTAGAGACAAAATGTATGTGAAATGGTTTGATACAGTAATGTTTTACTATGTCAAATTAATTTCTAAGAAAATGACCGTTTCAACAAATTTTTAAATTTGCCGCTGTTCCGGCCCTCATACGTCCCGACGCTCGCAGGGACCGGAACACGGAAGCCGGATGCCGACATCGGCCTGAGGAGATGGCCGGGGATGCGGCAGGGGACGCATCGTGGGAGCAAAGGACAAGGTAAGCGCTGCAGGGAATCCTTGAGCAACGCCGCATGGTATTCCCGAGTGTAGCTCGGGTTTACCGCTTTTGGTACTGAAACTTTACCCCGAGCTACACTCGGGAATACTGCCAGGGAGGTTAAAGAAATGTAAGTTTTTTTATGAATGAAGTAGGTGCCAAGAGCGTGACCTGTAATATCTGTACTGCAGCCAGAACTAACGATTTTAGCACTGACAGAGAATGATGCTTGAGTAAAAGTACAATATGCGGTAAACGCTGAAGAAACCAGAGACAGGACACACATCTTTAGACCTAACTTATTTGTACTGTGCAAATGGCCAAAATCATTATTGGCCATACTTTAGATTTAAGCACAGTCACAAGTTACAGCCCAATTAAATTCGCTAAATAAATTCCAGGTGCATCAAAACAAAATGTGTGCTATGTCATATAGTTTTATACTTTTTTTTTAAGCAGCAGAAGAGTAAAAACTTGGTCATGTGCTAGAATTCTGCCGATTAGACCCCTTGACCTTTGTGTGGAAGCAGTGGTCTCTCTGCAAAGGCTCAACACTTCCCTATTGAGTCAGAAATTTAGCTCTGCCATCAGTAAAGTTCATACTCCCCCGCTGAGCTCTGGCTCTGGCAGGGGGTATATTAGATCCCTTCAAAGTGATTAATTCTTCTGCATGGAGAGAAAGATCCCACTCTGCAGCGTGCTTGCAGAGGACAGGCTGATTTTTAAATAAAACAAACTAACTACCTGGAGATAAAAATGAATTCATAATCTGTTTTGGATGAAACTATACTCACTAACACCTTGACTTTCTTTCAAATGTAGGAAATACATACACCTTTAACCGTTACAATAATTAGTCTGTCTTCCTTTGTTATACCCTGTACACATTACCAGTTTTTTCTCATTCAACCCAGCTGGTTGAAGGAAAATAAAATGTATAAATCACTGTACTAACACAAGATGTGTTACTACAGCAATCCTCCCTGCTCTGCTATTGTGTTCTGACAGGGGAATTGCCCCCCACCCCCCAGAACACACCGGTCAGCACTCTTCGCTATTGGCAGAGAGCACTGATCAGAAGCCTTTTTTTTAGTCATGTCTCATCTATTGCAATGATTGCTGTACACAAAGGCCAAATATCGTCTGGTTTCTATTGAACCTGTTGATACAGCCTGATTTTTGGCCCAGGTGTATAGGACTTTAGTTGCCTTTTTCTCACCATTGTGATAGAAATATACTACTTCTTGCAGTGCAATATTGTCCAGTTAGTGCTTCAGACAATGTAGTAACATCATTTTCCCAACTCTGCTTTTATACAGATGTAGGGTTTTTAGGTATTCAACCAGTTAGGACAGTTGTAGGAACCATTTTCATGGACATTCAAGGCTTTAATTACTTCCATTTAACCTCTAGCATTTTCTACACACCCCTGTACCATTTTAGGTTAATAACTGGATTTGAACTACTTAAATTCCACTACAAACTGAAAGAAAGGTGTTGTTCTAAATCCTTTGACTGGTAGTGTATATATTGTATTATATTGTATTATATTGTATATATATGTGAACCCCTTGGGATTACGTGGCGTTTTGCATGAATTGGGCATAAAATGTGCTCTGAACGTCATCTAAGTCACAACAATAGAAGAACACAGTCTGCCGAACATAATACTACACAAACATTAGATGTTGTCATGGTTTAATTGCACATAACATGTAAACATTCACAGTGCTGGGTGGAAAAAGTATGTGAACCTTTGGACTTAATAACTGGTTGACCCTCCTTTGGTAGCAATAACCTCAACCAAACGTTTCCTGTAGTTGCAGATCAGACCTGCACAACAATCTGGAGTAATTTTGGACCACTCCTCTTCACAAAACTGTTTCAGTGTAGCAATATTCTTGGGATGTTTGGTGTGAATCGCTCTCTTAAGGTCATGCCACAGCATTTCAATCGGGTTTAGGTCAGGACTCTGACTGGGCCACTCCAGAAGGCGTATTCTGTGCTGTTGCAGCCATTGTTTTGTTGAATTACTTGTATGCTTTGGATCATTGTCCTGTTGCATCACCCATCCTCTGCGGAGCTTCAGTTGGCGGACAGATGGTCGTACGTTTTCCTGCAAAATGTCTTGATAAACTCTGGAATTCATTTTCCCATCAATGACAACAATCCGTCTAGGCCCTGAGGCAGCAAAGCAGCCCCAAACCATGATGCTCCCTCCGCCATGTTTTACAGTGGGGATGAGGTTTTGATGTTGGTGTGCTGTGCATTTTTTTCTCCACACATAGTGTTGTGTGTTCTTCCCAAACAACTCAATCTTGGTTTCATCTGTCCACAGTATATTTTGCCAGTAGTGCTGTGGAACATCCAGGTGCTCTTTTGCAAACTTCAAACGTGCTGCAATATTATTTTTGGACAGCAATGGCTTCCTCTGTGGTGTCCTCCCATGTACTCCATTCTTGTTTTACCGTTTTCCTTATTGTAGATGTGTCAACAAAAATGTTAGCATGTGCCAAAGATTTCTGTAGGTCTTTAGCTGACACACTGGGATTCTTCTTTACCTCATGCAGCATTCTGCGCTGTGCTCTTGCAGTCATTTTTACAGGACGACCACGCCTAGGGAAAGTAGCAACAGTGCTAAACTTTCTCCATTTGTAGACAGTCTGTATTACCGTAGACACATGAACATCAAGGCTTTTGGAGATACTTTTGTAACCCTTTCCAGCTTCAT